GTTTGGGTGTTAGTGAAAGTCAGGAAATTTCATCCTTAAAGCTCAATTTCCAAGCAATTGACCTAAACTAAATTTATATACTCCATCATTCCATATGAAAAGAGTATGGTTGTCATCGAACGTCCTCAATACAAGTGTAGTCTAATTAGTTTCACAACTTCATACGCGAAAGTTACTTCATTTTGTCAGCCCCTATACATACCTCAATGTCTTGTCTTTGTACCTCTTATCACACGAGGAGAAGGTTCAATCCTACAAGAAGATAGGTGTACCATTCGGGTGTAATCTCTGAAGTGTAATTAGGATTATTATTTTTGCAATGGTTCAATCTTATCTCTTGTCAATGACTATAAGAATAGTCTATTATATTCATTGAACTCAAAAAATGAATTTGTTTCATTGCCCATAGTCTGAAAGGAGTAATGTTTATTCAATTAGAATTTTAAAAAATGTCCTAAAAACAAAGAAAGACATAAAAACATATTCAAACAAATCATTTTGCTTTCATGCAAAGTGCAACTAATCCCCACATAGGACAAGCAACTGATTCATATAATAATCCCAGATTGCTCCTTGTCGTCCATTTGATGTTAGGGCACTTGCTTTAATCGAATGCTCCGTCTAGCGCTTTGATGCCCCATTTGAGTTAGCCATCCACTGTTCGACCAATTCTCAAGTTAACGCCTCAATGTTGACGAGCATCTCTATCTCTTTCATCAATGGACCAAATTTCCCTATAAAATGCCCAGGTGCTCCCATGTGGAAATCAAAAACACTTATTTCATCATTGATATGACCATAAGGGTTTTCCATTAATTTCATCAATCTCGGAGTAAGGCATCGGCCTTTAATCAAATGGGGGAATAAATCTGATATGGGTGTTTGGAACACCTCTAGAGTTTTTCTTACTTAGGGGACTTTCTTTGGTTGATTCAGGTAACTAGTTGACTCTTTTCTTTTATGATTGTGATGGCTCTGAAAATGACATTCGTTCACCCAATTTTGGTTGGTTGAGTATTTGGAGTTGACCTTCAAGTTTCCTTTGGTAATCGCATATTGTATTAACACTCTATTTGTCACAAGATCTTTAAAATCCTCTGTTAAATTTGCAAGCATTAACTCAAAGAAAGGGGCTGGAAGAGTTCTATGGAACATGTATGATATTTCTTACTTCGGCATAGGAGATTGTGCCTGAGCTTCTGTGCCCCTCCATTTTAATGAATACTTTTTAAATCTTTCAGTAGCTTCCATCTTCATTTCTTGGAGATCTTGACAATTTGGAGCCAAGTCTTTGACATATTTATATTGCTCTAGAAAGGTATTAGCCAAATTGACCCATGACTTAATTTGTTCTTTACCCAAGCAGTTATATCATATCACATCCGATCCAGTAAGACTGCCATGGAAGTAATGAATCAACAAATTATCATCATTCAAGTATCATTTCATCTTCCTATAAAACATCTTCATATGGATCAAAGGACAACTAGTACCATCATATTTTTCAAAACCAAGTACTCTAAACTCATGTGGGATGATCAAGTCGGGGACTAGGCTGAGCTCTCTTGCGTCTAGATTCTTGTGGGAAGCCTCATAAATTTCCATCGCTTCAACCAATCTTTCTAACTGCTTAAGTTTTCTTCTAAATTGCTCGGGATTAGCGAAACTCTTCCCCTCATTCAAATATGATTCCTCTGGGTGGTTTGCCAACCTTGGTGAGTCAATGTAATAACACCGATGTCTTTCGACAGACGTTTTCTCTTTGCTAATAGCCATTGCAACCAACACTTCAGTCATTTGACTCAATACTTCTTGTTGGGAATTTAATCATTGATTTCTCGTATTCTGCTGCAGTGCGGTTAACTTATCTCGTTTTTGATATCGTAAATTGCCTTGAGACTTCTCTATTGCTTCTAATTTCTTATCCATAACGAAGATGAAGTAGAATGTGAATGGATGATCTTGGCACTACTTCCATGTAACCCTCCATAAATTATTTTCATGTTTTTTTATAAGGAATGCATGTAAATAATTAAATAAATAAATTGTTGGGGATTGTCGATGAAACTCAATTGAACAACTGAATAATTGCCAAGAGAGGTTGAATTGGTTTTTGAGATTAGGGAGTAAAGAGATTAGAAAGATAGACAACTGACACAAGTATTTATAGTGGTTCGACTTCTCAACCAAGTCTACATCCACTACTTTAGCTATTCACTAAGGATTTTCTAACAAATTCACTAATTTGTTCTTTCTTTTTACAGGATCAAAAGATAACCTTAACAATCCCTAGTTTTTCACATGCTTAGCTAGAACCAATCCCCTTTTACAAGGTAAAAAGATGAAAACAAGAAAACCTATCTAAGGTAGGGCGTTTACAAGAATTTAGGCTCACTAAAAACAAATAAAAGATTTGCAATAAAGCTCAAAACACAAATATGTATAAGAGAAAAGGAAAAATAAAGAGTGAAAGAGTTTTTCTCTTGATGTGGATTGCTTGGATAGGTGTTCCAACCTTCTTGAAGTGTCTTCAACTTGTTTTTATAAGTTGGAATGAGTTTGTGGCTGTTTCTAGCCATTAGGGATGATTTGGAGCTGTTGAGAAATATTTTTCTGTAAAATAAAATTGCTCAGGACAGGGAGTATCGATACTCCTTTAATGAGTATCGGTACTTCCTTTATAATTTTTAAATCAACTAGCTGTTGGGCTTGACCAGTATCGATACTATGCTCATGGTATCGACATTACTATGTAAAGTAGTATCAATACTCCTTTGAGTATCAGTACTTATTTTGCATTATGAAATTTGAGCTATATGAAAAACAATTGGTAGTATCGATACTACCTAGAGAGTATCGATACTTCTCTTACCTTTGGTATCGATACCACGTGAACAATATCGGTATTGTTCATGTAGTATCGATACTGTAAGAACAGTATCAGTACTACGTACCCAGAAAATTAGTTTTGTGCTCAAATTCTAGTTTAATGGACTTCAAATTATTTTTGAAAACTTTGAACTAATTTTAATTAAATCTTATCCATTTATTTATTTAAATCTAATGACTATAAATTAGTGTAAAACTTATTAGTTTTACATAGTATAAACGGATCATGCCATATATATATATATATATATTCAACTAAATTGAGAGTTAAATCATCTAACACAAGAAATAGTTATAAAGATATAACATTCTTGTTAATAAATTGACCATTAATCATATCAAATATGCCAACTTATCTATATAGTCGGACAGACAATCAATGATGGTAAGTTGAATAACCCTTCGAACAAACCGAACGTTAAGTATAAATCTTCAAGTATGACTCTCGTCTCGATCATCGATTTCTTCTTCTCCTAATCTATCTAATATTCTTATCTTTGTCGATTTAAACATCAAGTCGTAACACAAATTTTAATTCCCCTCCCTCGCGCCCATATCATCATCCGGAATAAGATGCCCTTACAAGCCCAATCCATCACAACGAAGATATCAATAACCATAGGATTGATGTAAAATTTTAAGTTATAAGGAAAGAACATGAATTTGTAAAATTTTAGGGGACGAATTTAAACTTATGAAACTATGGTAGGCGGAAATAAATTTTTAATAAAAAATATATATAAAAAATCTACATCAAATTGGACTTTATTATTGGTCCGTTTGTTCTCTACCATTGGGCTCTATTTGTTTGGTTTTCTTTAGGTTAAAATTTACTAATTTGGTTATTCTTAGTCCATTTTCTTTTTGTATTTTGAGATTTCGATTTCGATTCTGATTCTGATAATTATTGTAAATTTTATTAAATTATGACACTAGTTCTTATATTATATGTTAGTTGTAAATTTAGTTCATATTCTCTAATTTGAAAATTTTAAGTCCTAATTTAATTATATGGTCTCTATTTTAGTTTAAACAAGATTGGAAACTCAAGTTCTAAAAAAATTACTAGGACTAAAATTGATAAAATTAAAACATGTGTACTAAATTCACAACTTTATACATAGTACATGTACACATATAATCTGACCCTTTTTTCCCTTTATGGTATGTTTTTATTTGATGGCTTCTTATACAGATTGATATATAAAATTGGTATCCGAATATTTTTAATCTCAAATTGATACTTGAATTCGATAAAAAAAAATTCAAGTCCATACCTATTAACTAGCTCAACACACAAATAAATTATTAATATAATATTGATCGATCAAAATGATCATATCATTAAGAGTTAAGTGATACGAGTCATGACTTCCATAATTTTTAAATACTACGTACCAACTTAAGAATTTTGTTCTAAGTGTATATATCAAAGGAATATTTTTTTTCTAAAAGTATATATTAATTTTAGGGTTCAATACACAAATGGTCCATCAATTATAGGGTATTGCTCTATTAAGACTCTCGACTATTAAAAGTTATAAAATGATCATTCGACTATAGAGTGTTGCTTTGTTGAGTCCCTCAACTATTAAAAGTTACAAAATGATCACTCAACTATTCATTATGTTTCAAACTCGTTTTCTGTTAAAAAATTGACAATATTCTCAACTGAACGTTAATGTAATACACATAACCCGTATACGTCTCGAAATATGAATCATAGATATCACATCAACTTAAAAAAACATTCACTGAACTGAAATGCTTAATTTTTTTTCCATTTTTAAAACACTTTTATTATACTTTAAAACTATTTTTCGAATATCCTAATTTATAAATTAATACTTTGTCGTAGAAAATAAATCTATTTGTCAAATAGTGATTAAAATGTTGTGTATTTTCATAAGTCATTTAATATATATATATATATTCTACTCATACATAAATACTGATAAAACTAAACTAAGCAAAATAAAATGGTCATAGTCTACTATTACAGACAGTGGCAGACCCAAGATAAAAGTTCAGGGGTTGCACAAAAACTTTTATAATTTTTTTTTAAAAACTACGATATCTATAAATATAATAAAATGTCCAAAAATTACATTCTAAAGTTGACCTTTTCGTGTTTTCATTTTTTGAAAGCGATTGATTACACTTTCAATCTTAACATCTAAAAGTGCTTCTTTTTCTATTGCGCAAATCAGGGCATGATTCATAAAATCGTCACTCATTTTGTTGCGCAAGTCTGTCTTTAAAAGCTTCATTGCAGAAAAACATCTTTCAACCGTTGCAGTTGCAACCGGCAGAACCAAAACTAACTTTAATAACCTATAGACCAAAGGAAAAGAACGATGTTTCCCTATTTCCACCATCAAGCGAGAAAGGTCGGCAATTCCATTCAAGTTAGCAAATCTGTCATCATGTAGCAAAGAGTGATAGTAGATATCAAGTTGACCAAGAAGATATGTCCTTTCTGAATCGCTAAAATCATCTGGGTACATCTCACTTAACTTCAACAACTTTGATTTATCAAACTTAGAAAATGAATCAGAAGGACTTAAAGCCGCCATATTTTCTAGCAATTCGGTGCTTACCTCACTAAATCGATCCCCAAATTCTTGAATTTGCATATCCAAAACCGTGTTAAAAATCTCAACCTCAAAATGATGCTGATTAGTAATCTTGGTCCTACGGTTTCTTGGAGTAACATAATATTCTGACATATCCAAAGTTTCAATGCTATGTTTTTGATAAAAAGAATATACTTTCTTTAAAATTGAACCAAACCCGTCATTTCTTAAAGTTTGCAATGATTTCTTTGTTGCTCTTACCAATGAAGCCGCTTCCAAAATATCTTGATCTTTTCTTTGAAGATGTCTTGACAAGGTATCTGTGAGACCTAAAATCTCCAACATCAAGTGTAAATAAAACACAAAATAAAGTGTTTTAAAATATGATAAAATACCGTACGCTTGATTTCGGTTAGATAAAGTTGAGCCGTCCTCTTCAACATATTTAAGCACCTCAATAACTTCAGGAAACAAATTCATCAAACTTATGATTGTTTTATAATGGGAACCCCATCTTGTATCTCCTGCTCGAATTAGAGAAAGCTCTTGATTCAACCCTCTTCCGGTTTCAGTTTCACCAATACCAATTTCCATTTGCAATCTCTTTTTGTAGCTCTCTCGTATGATATCCTTTCTTTTGCAGGAAGCACAAACCACATTAACCACCAAAGCTACTTGCTCAAAGAATTCATGAGCACCATCATGATTCTTTGCAACCGCCACGATCACTAATTGAAGTTGGTGAGCAAAACAATGTACATAATATGCTGACTTATTATCTCTTAAGATCAATGCTTTCAAACCGTTAAACTCACCACACATATTACTTGCTCCATCATAACCTTGCCCTCTTACCTATTTCAAATAATAGATAAAAGATTTAATATATAAAAATAAAGATTCAATTAAATAATTAAAATATAAATCAAATAAATATGACATATTACCTGAGCCATGCTTAATTTATTGTCAGTAAATACGGAATCAATGGCAGCTTTAAGAGTCAAAGAAGATGTATCCGTCACGTGAACAACTCCAATAAATCTCTCCTTAACAACTCCAAGTCTATCAACATATCTCAAAACCATAGCCATTTGCTCCTTTTTAGATACATCACTAGACTCGTCAACTAATATGGCAAACACATCCTTTCCAATTTCATCACAAATGGACTTTATTATTTCTTTTGAAAAACATTCAACAATATCTTTTTGAATCTTTGGAGATGTCAATTTATCGTTCTTCGGAGCCTTTTCTAAGGTAACATTATAAATACTCTCATTGTGTTCTCTAATCAAAGATAATGTTTTAATGAAAAGCCCTTTGGAAATGGAGTCATCCGACTCATCATGGCCACGAAACGGTAACTTATTTTCCAACAAAAATCTACAAGTGACAATTGTAGCACGTAATCGAATTTCATAATTACTCTTCTCATGTTCAGTTTGCTTATGAAGAGCATCACTAATAGATTGATTTTTTTCACTAGATTTTCACACTTTTGTCATGCTTTGTTGTGTAAACTATCAACATTACCTACATGAGCATATAACGATTTCTTTTTACTCCAAGTGCTAAATCCTTCCGTCACAAATGCATCTATCCCACCTTGTTGTCCTACAATATCTCCAAATAAGTAGCAACATAAACAATAAGCTTTGTCCTCCTTTATGCTATACTCTAACCAATCAAATTCATCAAACCATTCAACGATAAAGCATCTTAGCTTAGGACCTATCTTTTTTGATGGAAAAGTATGACCCCTTGGTTGACATGGTCCTTTAATCCAATATGCCCTTCTTATTTCATCTTTTTGATTTGGATGATAAGATGTAATTTTTGGTCTATCCGCCGGATCCGAAAGAAGATCATTCATATTAATAGTTGTTGGAATGGAAGCCATGGGAGTAGGTGACACAATGGTAGGTTGTGGTCTTTGTGGAACTTCATTTGAGCTATTTCTTTTAGAAGATTCTTCACTACTTCCATCATCACCAACATCTAATTTCCTTTTAAAATAGTTACCAATAGAACCCTACAATTAAATATTTCAATAAATAAAATGATTAAAATATTAAAAATTCAACATATAATAATTATAAACTATGAATTACTACTTTACTGTAATATCCTAATTTTAATACATCAAACCAAAAAAACCTAATTTTAATGAATTAATCAATTTCAAATAACAAAGCAATATTATATACAGTTTACTACCTTTATTGTTAAACATGAAAAAATTAAATATGAATGAAAGAAGACAAAGTGAGAAAGATAATAAAATCATTAATGTAAAGAATAAATTAAGATAAAAGAAAGTACACATACTTGTCTCATTTGTATATTTGGAGAAAAAGGTAAAAAGTTCAAAGTTCAACTTGTTGTCTTCAAAAGTTCAAAGTTCAATCGGCTTCCCCTTCAAAGTTCAATCGCACAGGAAGGCAGTGAGGCAGCCCTTGCAGCCTTGCCTTTCCAAGATGGGTTGAGTTTCCACAAGACCACAGCCCTCAACCCTTGTCGGCGGTTTACCCTTCTAATATTCAATCGAGGTTTTTAGTTTTCATAGCCTTTCTAATATGTTGCCAATTGCCGTATCCCAAATCCCAATTCCCACAAAACTGAAAATAGGTGCTTGATTCATGGCTTAAGGTTTGTTTTTTGGGCTTGATCTTTTTTTTTAATTTTAAATAGGATATTAATTTTTCCTATAATAAAGAGTAACATTTACACATAATATTAGGGGTAGCAATTGTATTAATTAAAAAAATAGAAAATATTAACACTAAGTTACAATTTTGAGGGGTTGCCTGGAGTAATATTAGGGGTAGCAATTATATTAATTAAAAAATAGAAAAAATTAACACTAAGTTACAATTTTGAGGGATTGCCTGGGAAAAAATTAACACTAAGTTACAATTTTGAGGGGTTGCCTGGGATACCCCAGGCAACCTATAAGGTTCGCCCGTGATTACAGACCAATTAAAAGTAAATATGAAAAATAAATTACTGTTATAATTATACATGCCATTAAAAGTCAAAAGTAATATCATAGATGTCTTACTGATATTGATGATAAGTATGATTTTCAAAAAGATGTTTGGTAGGCTCCTCATTGCTCGTTCTTATCACTATTAGAACCTATGCATGAAAATCATCACACGCTAAGTATAATTTATTGAGACAGTAATAAGCTAAGGTGAGAAAAAACATGAAAATGTCATAAATATAATTTTTTTTTTAAATAAAACATTAAACTGACAAACCAACATATCCAAGTCAATTTTCTCACTGTAAACTGAAATTCATCTTATTTCATGAACTCATTAAATTCTGATAAACAATATCTGATAAGTTAATAATAACATGCTTTCTGTCAAATGAAAACTATACAAAACGTTCATATTCATTTTCATAGCCCAATGCATATTTATAAGAGCATAAGGTACGTGAGTAAAGTGCGTACTAGGCACATCACAATGACACTCATAACTAAAACTGAGATATGATGCACTTCAGTGCGATCATAACATGTGCACCAACAGTGCTGATCATAAGGTACACGAATGTACCATAGCTGAACTGATATCTGATAACTAAAAAGTACTCAACTAATGACATGTCAAATGTACCTACAACTCTCAATGCAACATACAATGGGCTTATATACCACAATAAAATCATTTATAAATCAACTTCTGATAACTGTAAAAGTTTAAAATTCATTGTAATGAATATCATACCCTAAATCATCCACAAAGCTGACATAAAATATTATGAAAATATTCCATAATTAAACTTTATAAATCATATTGGAAAATAATATGAGGTTGACTTATCGCAAGTCGTCCTCGATCATAATAATTAAATAAATAAACTGCACTCACCTTTTTCTCACTACCGAACCTTTTACGAGATACTTCTAATCACGTGCTTTTCCCTTTTATTTCGAATCGCTAGACTTATTGTGATATGACAACGTTTTATAATAACATAACCTATTCAAACTATATGTTAGTATAGAACTAATATAATCTAAACTTAAAAATATAAAAGTCTATAAAATTGAAAATCAATACTTAATCGATATAACTAAATTATACTCCCATCATAAATTCAAACCTCTCACAAACACTTACTAAATTTCATGAATATTTATTTCACCATCAACTTTTTAACATTTGCTAAATACATAATTAAGCCACCAATTTTGAATTCTTTCTAAAATTCACCTCAACTTTTTCATTAAATTCATAATAGCTCTTCACCATTATGATCATTTCCCATTTATTACATAAAATTTCCAGAACCTTAATAAAATACTCAAAACAATACTCCAACATTTAAAAACTTATAATCAAGTCCCTATATTAGTGAGACCTTTCGAATTCCACCTTCAACTTTACCAAACTTGCAATTTTGTTCCAATCAACTTTGAAACTTAAATTTTCAGTATTTAAATTATTAAAAATCAGCATTAAACCTTCCAAATATCATATTCTTGCAATAATGTCCCACAATTATCAAAACTTTTATATTAGCCCTTTTTTTATTCAAGCTTCCAAATTGATCTCCAAATCACATAGAACACTTCTAATATTCATTTTAGACCATAGGAAATTTTTCAATATTTTCCCCTAAATTTCCCTAGTGGCCGAATCTATGCAATACTTTAGGGCAATTTTTTTTTTCAATTCCAAGCATGAATTCAACTTCCTTACTTCAAATTCATGCTATACTAAACATCACAACATCAAATTGAACCAAAATCAACCAATCTCTTAAAACCTTAGGTATAATCGAATACTTTAGATCACTCTACAATTGATTTTAAACATCACAAAAGCTTGAAAATCAATCTCCAACATCAAAAACATAAAAATCCTTAATCAGTTCTTCAAAACCATAAAACCCTACATAAACCCTAACTTTCAATCTCAATACACAAGCATCTTCACCATGCAATGTTTATACCAAATGATAGAGAATTTCATGTAGATTAATTCTCTATCTAATAGCTTAATCTAAAAATCAAGTGTATGACTTCAAAAATAAAAAATAAAATCTTGCCTTGGTAGCTATGTTTCGGCGAAATGAAGAGAAATGGATGAAAATATGTTGCTTATCTTGATTTTTCTAGTATTTAATAGCTAATACAATTGGCATTTAACTAATATATTTGAATTTAAAATTCAATTCTTAAGAAATTCCATTTTTACCATTAATGAACCTTAATAATTACCAAATGCAATTGTCATATTCTCCATTAAAATATTCCTTGGTCAAATATAAATCAACTTGGCTTTGATTTTTCACTTTGGCCATGCAATTTAAAAAAAATTGCATTTTAGTCGCTATTTTTCCACTATTCGATCAAATCTAAAAATTCCACTGTTCTGAGCTAAATTTATTTAATCTAAAATACGAGAATAATATTTCCAACCATATTATAACATCCTTCAAATTTTTTTAAAATTATGGTTCGATCCAGTTATCCAATTTCAATACTGAACTTTATCGCTTTATAGCTTTTAACACAAACTTCTCACCAAAAATATGATTCCCACATAAATACTTTTTGATCGCTTGTAAATGTATATGCTAAGACAAGCAAATCTGTGCAAGTACACACAATCGATGCAAGTAATATAGTAGTGAGTGAGTATCGTCTCCACAGGGATTGAACAAGCTAAGTCCTACTAAGTATTATCCCAAGAACTAATATTAATGAACTAAGAAAAATGATTCAATGATTTCAGAAAATTTGGTCGAGGCAAACTTACTATACAAACTGATAAAACAAAACAAGTGGTGGTTTAAATATAATGCAAACAACCTCACATATTCAAACGTGTTACAGAGCACTTATGCTAAACTATTGTCTTGACACCAATTATTCTCAGTTTAGAATGAATTATTATGACTCACTAAAGCTGCCCGACAGGATTACTTGATTATTATAATGTTGCTACAACAATACCTCTCGGCGTTAACTATAGACATAGTCTCTCCTACTCTAGCATCTATCCCTTTTAATCGTTTGAAACTCACTCCTTATCTCTAAGGCAAACAAGTTAGAACTTCACCATCTTGGATTCATTCCATTGCTCACGTTGATCTATCTTAATTCTCTCGAATTTAAGAACCACTTATCTAGTTAAAAGGTTATCTCTCGATGCTCTTACAGTGCCAAGACATGTTTTACCAAAACCTAAGGCTATCTCTCGATGCTCTTACAGTGCTAAGGTAAAATATTTAAACTATGAGCAAAACAGTCATAAGCGAAACATAATTTGTCATTCATAAACATAAAAATATTGTTTAGGCAAAACAAAGTTTAACAGCAAGTAAAGCATTCATGGTGCTATCAAAGATCATCCAAGATTTAACGTTTAATATAACCCCAAATAAAATAAGAGTTAAAAAAAAGAAAGAACGACTCCCAAAACTGGGGGCTCTGTCGCGACAATCTTAATCAGCACTGTGCCTGCCTTGGTGATCACCCTCTCTCGAGGCCTGATCACCGCTCTACTATCATCTAGCTATGGAGGACACCAAGGAAAGTTAGTGGGTAGACAGTGGGAAAGCACTGCAGTTGCTTGCTCACGCCTTAGGTAAAGCTCTTATCTCTTCTTTCTTGCCTTCTTTTTTTGCGGCTACGGCTAGTTATTTATAAGGAAAGATCTCCTAGGTCTTTGTCTACTTTTAGAGTTTCCTTAACTAGCCTTTATTAATTGCCCATACTTAAAAAGGAAAGGTGGCTTGCGGTTGTCAGAATAATTGAGGCTTGCTTGCACGTAAAGTAGGTCATCCAGCTGACGAGTGACATAGGCGGTTTTGCCACACCTGCTTCAGAATTTCTCAAATAAATCTTGCCTCGACGAGATAAATCTGCTCTTCACGTTCTCATCTATTCTGATGGCCTTTGCACTTTTTCATTGTCACGACTGAAATGTTCTTCCTCTGTAGGATTCCTGCACAAACACAACCCAAACAACCCTTTCTCTTCAGCAGCATCAGTCAAACCAAATAAATCTTGCCTAAGCAAAACTTTATCTACCACAGGCTAATATAACCTATATGCAACTAAATGCAACTAAAAATGCAGTGCCTACTTTGTTTAGATGAGCAATAACTTAAGTGAAAAGAGTAGGAATTAAGTCTTTTTACGGAGTTATCACAACCCCAAATTTAAGCTATTGCTTATCCTCAAGCAATGGATAACAGCTAGAAGAGAATTAAAATTGTCATGGCAAAGCAGTTTTAAGAAAATCACATGGTTTGAGATTTCAGCCCTCAGCAAAAATTGTTTGGCCTCAACATGTTGACATTCATATCAGTCAAGTTTATTCCCTAGTCGGGATCCCTTGCTATTTTGTGTGCGTGATTGTAACCAGTCTATGCATAGAGGTAATTAGAAAACTTAAAGTAAGCACTCCTGGTTTTTCAAGGTAACAAATTATTCATCAGGCTTAGTTTATACTCCTAGTTATTTATCAACTTTTATTCTCTTTATTCATTTTTTTATAGGGGAGTCAACTCATCACACCTACCGTTCCACACTCTAGGTGAAAGGGAGCATACCTTCCACCCCCAAGATAGTCGGGCAAAGTCATCATGTGACTACTTTCATTCACTAATATACCTTGGCTACTCTTAATTTCTTTTGGAGTTTTTTTTGTTCATGCCTTTGCACAGAGGAGTGTCCCTTCGTATTTTCGAGTTTTCAAGTTTTTAAACACTAGAGAGTTTTCACTTTACCCTTAGAATATTTTTGAAGTCTCGACAAATAGAAAGTTCTTTCCTAAAAATTTTACAGATTACCTAGAGCAAAAACAACCTACAATCGTGTTTATACATTTCAAGGAATCAAGCCTAGGGTTGGTTCTCTTCTTTAGACAATCTTAACAATAATTCTAGCCTAGGCAATAAAATTTTGCATTCATCATTGGGCATCCCTAATTCATTCCTAACAATAATCAAGCCCAGAGTCTACTGCAGTTGGCGAGGGAGATGGCTGAAGTATACGACCTGCGGTTCTCTTGTAGTGCTTCTTACTGGACGAGGCTTGTGCTGGACTAGATTGCTCGGTCGTAGGAGTTGGTTGTGTTGGGACTGGTGTTGGACTAGTAGCTGCTGTTGGGACTGGCGATGTTGGTCGAATAGGGGACTGAATAGGATCATGCTCAGGTTACTTCGGTTCTGGTGTGAAATCTTCATCAGTGAAGAAGTGGGGTGGAGTATCATCACTGCTTTCGGTGGTTGAGAATGATGGTGAGCTAAGGAATTCTTCTGTGTCGCCTTGGCCTTCCTCTGATACAGGTGGTACTTGAGTTGCTAGTGGTGGCACATCAACGGGTACTTTTGGGGGAACGTCTGGAGGTGCATGTGATGTCGAGGCATGGAATGTGCTCCCGTCTGATAACAGCGGGGAAGGTCGATAGTCTGATATTTTTGTTTGGGAGCAACTCCTTGAAGAATGCGTTGAGTTGCATGTCCCTAGCCTTGACATACTCGAAGTAAATTTCTATGTGGTTCTTCAGGCAACCGATCTTTTCACACATTTCTCGAGTGTGCATGACCACAACGGCCATTTTAGCAGTGGCAACCATTTTTGCTCCTCGTTCCAAACCTTCCTGTGGGTCATCGTCATTGAAACTCATCAGCTCAGTGACCTTTTTCTTGGTAATACCCTCTTTTGGTTTAATGTAATCCTCGAAGTGATCCTCAAGAACCTTCTTCTTCTTGCACAGTGTGGTTATCAGATTTGTAAACAATAGATTACCTCGGCTCCTCTTGGAACATTCATGGATCTACTCGAAGATAATTTCACCCATGTTGATCTTCCTCCTGTAAATGATCGAGTGCAGGAGCATCAATCTCTTCACGAGGAAAGTGGTGTTGTGAGACGTGGGCATACGCTTGCCCTTGAGGAAGTGGTTCTATAACTTTACATTTGGTTTTAGGGCTCGGCGATCAACTCTCTTCCTCATGGGGGTCTTTCCTTCAAACTTGGCCCACCCAAAGCATAGATCCTGCAGTACGCCGCTGTATGTTTCTTAATCGGCCTCTTCCACAAATCGCTTGTACTGCTCCTCCACTTTTCCCAACTTAAAGTATCGGTTGAGTGCAGAGGGGGAAAATCGAATAAGCTTTCCTCGAACATAAACTATGTGGTTAGACGGATCCTCGAGATGGGCATAGAATTATCGTACCATCGTCGGTGCTACGGCTTTGGGATTGCGAGGAAACTTCTCTCAGTCATGTTTCTTTATCACGTCCATCACCTCCAGTCCAAACGACTCCTCTTCCTCGGTGGGAAAGACGAATCCATCTTCCAAATAGACTTGACGTTTCTGAAAAATTTTGAAGCGTGCTTCTGCTTCTGCTTCGGCTGTTTGGAAACGTTCGAAACTCTGTGTTGGGGCTGGGGCTTTCCTTGTTCTTACCATTTTTTTTGGTTAATATCAATGGTGACAATGGGAAGAGAATAACATTTTTTCTTTCTTAGTGATGAGAGGTTGAGGCACGATGAAGAAGAAGAAGTTATTAAACAGTTTGTTTTTTTGGAAAGTAATGGGTGGTTTCGGGATAATTTAGTCCTTTCATGGTGGGGAAAATATTTCTCATTAAATAAGAAATATATGATTGGACATAAAGGGGGAGAAAAGATTTCTTTCCCTTTTTATTCTGCGTCCAAAACCATGTACCCTAGGGTTTTTTCTTTCATGCATGCTTCAACTCCCCATGCTGCGACATGTTCCTTGCTTGCCTACAATAAGAAAGAAGAAAATAATAAAATAAAACGGATTAAAGTAGAAAATAACTTAACTTATTTATATACAAAATTTAAATTTTTGTTACCTAGGCAACGAAATTTTGTTTAAGAAAATAGAGCAAACTCTTGGGCATCATGTGCCAACGATGCCAATTTGTCGTGCATGACTGGGGCTCTTTGTACTCCTTGAGTCTCTGTCCGTTCACCTTGAAGATGAAACCATCGTTTTGGTTTTGAATTTCAATTGCTCTATTGTCATAGACTTGGTGAACGATAAACGGTCCTGACCATCTTGATTTCAGCTTGCCTGGGAATAACTTAAGGCGTGAATTGTAGAGCATAACTTGTTGTCCAGAATAAAATTGCCTCTGTAATATTTTTCTGTCATGCCATCGTTTTGTTTTCTCCTTGTATAAGCGGGCATTCTTGTATGCATGTGCTCTGAATTCATCCATCTCGTTAAGCTCTAAAAGTCTTCTTTCTCCAGCAAGTTGAGCATTCATGTTTAGCTTCTTGATGACCCAGTAGGCTTTATGTTCGAGTTCAACCGACAGATGAAATTCCTTTCCATAGACCAATTTGAATGGTGACATTCCCAACGGTGTCTTAAATGTTGTGCGATAAGCCCATAATGCTTCATCTAGCTTTGGCGACTAGTCTTTTCGACTTGGATTGAACACTTTCTCAAGGATCTGTTTAATTTCCCAGTTAGACACTTCGACTTGTCCATTCGTTTGAGGGTGATACGCCATAGCAATCCTATGTCGTACTCTATATTTTAGTGCCTTGGCAATCAATTTATTATCGAAATGAGTGTCTTCATCGCTGATGATAGCTCGTGGTGTTCCAAATCGAGTGAATATATTTTTGTGCAAAAATTTTAACATCATCTTGGAATCATTTTTAGGTGTAGCAATGGCTTCAACCCACTTTGATACATAGTCTACTGCCAAGAGGATGTACAAATCCCCAAAAGATATGGAAAATGGTCCCATGAAGTCTATTCCCCATACGTCGAATAGTTCGATTTCCAGAATATTTTACCATGGAATCTTATGCCGTTTCGAGATGTTTCTTGTTCGTTGACATCTATCACATGACTTGTATAATTCATGCGCATCTTTGAACGGGGTTGGACAATAAAATCCAGACTGAAGCACTTTTGCTGCTATTATCATTCCACCAAAATGCCCTCCATATGGAGACGAGTGGAATTGATGTAGGATATCTTGCTGCTCTTCTTCTGGAATGCATCTTCGGATTATTTAGTCTCTGCATTGCTTGAATAGAAACGATTCATCCCAGTAGTAATGTCTCATATCATGTCGAAACCTCTTTCTGCCCTGGCTAGATAAATCATGAGGAACAATACCACTAAAAAGAGAGTTAACAATGTCAGCATACCATGGCGCAACCGTGACAAATAATATTTTCTCGTCAGGGAAATCTTCTTTAATTTCTGTGATGTCAGGACAATCATGTTTGTTATCTAGCCTAGACAAATGGTCTGCCACTTGATTTTTTATACCTTTTCTATCCTTGATCTCTAAATCAAATTATTACAATAGTATTATCCACCGAATTAGTCTAGGTCTTGCATCTTTTTTATTAATCAGATATTTAATGGCAGAGTGATCTGTGTGCACAATTACCTTAGTGCCTATTAGATATGGCCTAAACTTATCGAATGCAAATACTACTGCTAAGAGTTCTTTTTCAGTGGTGGTATAGTTAACCTGTGCATCATTAAGAGTACGACTTGCATAGTAGATAACATGAGAGATTTTACTTTTTCGTTGCCCTAGCACCGCTCCGACTGCATAGTTACTAGCATCGCACATGAGCTCAAATGGTTTATTCTAGTCTGGTGGGATAACAATTGGTGCTACCGAAAGCTTCTTCTTCTTCAAATCTGTGAAAGCATGCAAACAATCATTAGTAAATTCAAATGGATGATTTTGTTGAAGAAAAAGACATAAGGGTTTAGAAATTTGTGAAAAGTTTTTTATGAACCGCCTGTAGAAGCCTGCATATCCAAGGAAACTATGTACACCTCGCACATTAATAGGTGGGGGAATATTTGCAATTTCATCAACCTTGGCTTTGTCGACTTCGATGCCATGGCATGAAATTTTGTGACCCAACATTATTCCTTCTGTTACCATAAAATGGCATTTTTCCCAATTCAGTACTAGGTTGACTTCTTCACAACGTTTCAACACCTTGGATAAATTGTCAAGACATCGGTCAAAATCATCACCCGAAACGGAGAAGTCGTCCATAAATATTTCCATGCACTCTTCCACCATATCCGAAAAGATTGCCATTATGCATCTTTGGAATGTAGATGGAGCATTACACAGTCCAAACGACATTCGTCTAAATGCATAGGTACCATACGGACACGTGAAAGTTGTTTTTTCTTGGTCCTCGGGTGCTATGGCAATTTGGTTATACCCGAGTATCCATCAAGGAAACAGTAAAATATTTTTCCCGCTAATCTATCCAACATTTGGTCGATAAAATGGAGGGGAAAATGATCATTCTTTGTGGCTTTGTTGAGCTTCATGTAATCCATATATATGCGTTATCCCGTGATTGTTCTTGTGGTGAGGAGCTCGTCATGCTCGCTTTTAACCACGGTCACACCTCCTTTCTTTGGTACGCATTGCACCGGGTTAACCCATGAACTATCGGATATAGGATAAATTACTCCCGCATCCAGCCATTTTATAATTTCCTTCATGACTACCTTCTTTATGATCAGGTTGAGTCGTCTTTGGGGTTCCACCGAGGTGTTGTGGCTATCTTCGAGATTGATTTTGTGCATGCATATGGTCAGACTAATTCCTTTTAAGTCTGCCATCGTCCATCCTATAGCTTTCTTGTGCTGTGACAAAACATTCAACAAACTACTCTCCTGTTCAAAGGTTAGGTTGGCAGAAATTATCACTGGTAGGGTTTCATCAACTCCTAGATAAGCATATTTCAAATGTGATGGCAAAGTTTTAAGTTCCAATTTCGGTGCATGTTGTGAAGATGACTCATGAGATTTAACTTCTTCATATTCTAAGGGTTCAAATTTCATACCTGATTTGTTATGAAGAAGTTTTGATTGGTCCCTTGTCTTTCCACCGCATCTTATATTGGTATCATTTTCTGGGTGTTCATTGCTCAGATTTCTGTTGTCGAGGCGATGATTTTCAAGATCGTCTTCTTAAAATAGTTCGTCTGGGCCAAAGTTTTCTACTTCATGTATCTCGGTTGTGGGTTCATGGTACAAAGTATTGTATTCATCGAGCCTTAGGGATTCACCTCGTCCAAGGATTTCCTTTTCTTCAATTTTGTTAATGCATTGACATTCCTCTGAATCGTCCACGTATTTCATAGAGTTGAATATATTGATAGTGACGCTTTACTCGCCTACTTTCATGGTGAATTCTCCCTTTTCACAATCTATGAGGATTCTCCCGGTGGCTAGAATGAGCTTCCCAAAATGATTGGTGTGTTTTCATCGGCTTCGTAATCCAGGATGAGAAAATCAACTGGAAATATGAATTTATCCACCTTTACTATGACATCTTATATTCTGCTGTTGGGTCGCACAAAAGACCGATCAACCAACTGTATGATGACCGAGGTGGGATGGGCGTGATATCCGTCCAGCTTCATAAATATGGATTTTGGTATCAAGTTTACACTTGATCCCAAATCAATAAGAGCTTGTCCTATAAAGTCATTACCAATCAAACATGGTATTATAAAACTGCTAGGGTCTTTTTATTTTGGTGGGAGTTTGCTTACTGCTGAATAGATTTATGTTGTCGTGGCGACACGTTCTACCTTCCTTTTCTTTATAACAATTTCCTTAAGATACTTGGCGTAGGAAGGCATTTGCTTGATGGATTCAAGTAAGGGCACATTAATATACAAATGATCCAGAACATCAACAAATTTCTTGAACTGGATTTCATCATCATGCTTCTTCAACCGTTGAGGGAACGGTGGTAGAGGTCTCACATCGACTGCTA